AAATATATATATATCCTTTTTGTTACCCGGCTCAGTGATCTCGGTTTCTTTACTCTTATATGTTTGTAAATTGTGCATTTTTTGCTTTAAAAATGAATGAATTATGTTGTTCTTATCTTCCGGTTAAAGGTTTTTATGCCTTTAGTAAATCTGCAAGTAATATTTGTACAATTATCAACAATGTAAAAGCTGTTCAAGTGCGGTTACGCCTTAAGTTTTAAATAACATGGCGGACATACTATTTGTTTACATTTGAATCGGAGATCATCATTCGTTAAGTGGTGTTCGACCCGAAGGCCTTTACGTATTTATCAATCGCCTAAAGACCTGTAAAAGTTCGTAAAATTCCATAAAAATGGAAAAGTCGTGTACACTTGTAATAAAAGTGCAAAGTCTTCAGTAGTGAAGAAGTTTATTAGGGGTGACGCCATATCGGCCACAGATGAAGTCTTCATTATATAAGCAATAATAGCAACTAATAATTTTGGCATATCTTTCCGAAGTGGCATATCTTTTACACATTATCGTAGATTTAACACAGTATCGTACAGTAAAAATGCAAAATAATATATACAAGTCCCAGAAATTTTTCTGCTTTCGTCCGAGGCGAACGTACCTATATCTGAATACTCAAAGCACGGAATATAACTCCGTGACTCAAAGGGAAGTAGACTGTCACGTGATATACGAATTTAGTGATGATAAAGTGAATTTAATGATGATAACATTTGAAACAGCAGAATAGTAGATTTATTGCCAATCTAGAGAGACTAAGACCAACAACAATGCAAATTAAATGAAGCTTAATCCTTTTGGGAATTTTTTTGGAGGAAAGAAGTGTTTGAGATTTACCTCTTAATTTTTAATTCAGATATTTTGAGGTTTTATGTATTTTTCCCTTGTTGCGAAGTGAGAACTGAATTAATTGAATGAGAAATACTTTTTTTTTTTTTTTTTTTTTTTGCTTAATTTCTTTTATACATCATTCTAGATTTATTATAGTATTTGAATAGAACATGTGACAACGATTAGATAATTCTTCAAATGATATAAATTTTGTGCATTCTGAGTTATAATATGAACGAAATATAACGCTGTTAAGTGAACCTAGCGCCGGAGTGTCACTATGGTAAAGAAATATAATAAATTTTAAAGAGCGCATTTATTCTATTGTGGATTATGCGCTATCGACAAAGATTTAATTCAATCAAGTTTAAATGAAATGCAAGAAAAATGTGTATGATTTAATATTCCGTACAAGGAAGTCGTAGATACACATCAGATTTTTTTAATTATTATTTTGGTAACCTGAACGCCGCCTTTAGCTCAGTACCCTTGAGCTCCAAAACCGCTTTTATAGCTCAGAACGCTCAGTAGGCTTGAGCAACATTGATAATCTGCTATTAAAATATTCCTATCCCGGAAATTAAAGAATTGTTTTCCCGTCTTACTGTGATTTTGTAATTGTATTTGTAATAAATACAATTTGACCGCTTTGAAAAAATTTTCGACTTCTTTTGCGTAGATGATTTAAAAGTATCTCAGGTAGTTTCCTCGCATTCTATATTAATGCAAGTGCTGAAGCTTGTAATGTTTATTTTATGATTATGGATACATGGTTTTTGGTATTTACCATACATACCATTCAAATCCAAGAATGTAGAATTACGGTCCAACGAACGGCACGCCTGGAATGTCGGATTACTAGTCGAGAAAGCGCCACCTGTTATTTCTTACCGTCACGATTCCATTCCCCTCCTCATATCATATATTTATGATCCGTAAACTTTTCACAATCTGTGGGTTTTTAAATGCGGCAGTATTCATCCGCTTATTCGTTTAAGAACGACGATATCTTGAATTTGTTTTTTTTTTTGGGGGGGGGGCGGCAGAAGATAAATAACTAATCACGGAAGTTAACCAAATTTTATTCAGAGAGGAATAACTCAATTTAAAAAGCACTTCCGATGGATTAAATGAAATTTCGTGATACTTCATTGAACTATATTTATTACGTAATTTATTGTTTCATAAGAATAAATTGAATTTAATTAAATTTAATTTAAATACAAATTTTATTAAATATTCTTATGAAGGCAAGTGTAAAAGTCAAAACCAAAAGTAAAAAGTGGAAGAATGTCCAAAAAGAAATACCAAATAAAGTGAAACCCTTAGAAATTAGCATTTAAGAATTAGAGTTCTAAAAGGAAAATACTAATGAAGTCTTTTGAGAAACAAGCAAGTAAAGTCAAGTATTAAATTAAACTTTTTTTTAACTTTTTTAAAAATTAATTTTTTATAAAAAATAAAAATAATCTAGAAACCAATGTATTTTAGAAACCCTTGTCTACAGAAACCTCCCGACACGATTATGCATATCAATAAAAAAAGAAACTAAAAAAGAACTAGACATAATCCATATAAACCATTAAGAAACAAAAAGAACTAATTTACAATTTTTAAAAAACAAAATATATACTTAAAATATAAATTTCATATTTAGAAAATACTTAAATACTACATAAAAAATTTAAAAAAAAAATACTTTAAAGCAAGTAAATAGTAAATTTTAATTCTAACTTACCTACTATATGAGTGTTGGGGTCTGCAAAAGTGTTTTTTAAAGAGAAGTAAGTGTGTTCTTCAAATTAATTATATAGATGGCGCTTATGTAGGTAAAGTTGAGTGTCAAGCTGCTTTGTTATATTAAAAATTTTTTGCAAACATTAATATTAAAAAATATAAAAATAAATCTAGAAAAAATTAAATTAAAAATCCTGTGTTATCACAATCTAACTGTATAAGTATTCTTACAAAAGCATTAACTTTTTTAGTTAATGAGAAACTGAGGGGGGGGTGAGGCTTAAAAACGGGAGAGCTGTTTATTGTTAAGCCCACATTTCTGGTTGTTTGTTGAATGTCACTGCAAACACGTATAAAAAGCTTGAGGACAATAAGATCCTTCCTACCAACCCTAACTATTAACAAATGCAGTATTAAAAAATAAAGGTATGCGATTTTTACTTCCATTGAAGCTTAAGAGCAGACCCCCCCCTTCCCCAAGCTAGAATGCAAACACAATTAACTCTCGTAACTCAAGTATATAATTTTTATGATTGTTTTCATTAAAATTTGTATATTATTAATCTTCAATAGTACCATTAACAAGGAAATTGAAGCGGAATTTAAATTTGCTATTGTGACTGAAATTCATTCAAAATAGATACAATTACAGATATCTTTTTATGAATGAATTATAATGATGCACCATTATTAACAGTCTTATCCCCTATCAGTTAAGTTTTGTGCTTAGCTGCCATACTGTGTGCAAAGAAAATGGCAGCCAAGGAAAGAAACCTAATGCAATGAACATTTATCACAAGGCTTATCAAAAAATGTATATAAGTGAAGCTGGTTTTTGAAAACTGAAAAATGGTTAGCCTGTTTGAAATCATTGTATATTAGTTTTCCTGCTGCATAATTGAGTAGAGGTATCATCAGATACTGGACGTACCCTCTTTATCATGGAAAAAAGAAGGGAATAAAGTTTTCTGCAGAGTTTTTGTATATAAAATAAAAACCAATCTATCGTTTTTTTTTATCTAGACCTTGAAATTTAATTAGATATAAAAATATAAGAAATTCATGTAAATGTAATTCAGCAAACAAATTTGGCCTTATGCTCAAAATCTTAATTTTCATATATAAACAAAATTCCAACAGAATTCCCCTTCCACAATGGATAATTTCATATACCTCTTGAATTTTTTCTCTTATTTTTGGTGATCTATATCTGTGTTTAAAAGTCCCCCCCCCATAAGCTGAGCTTTAATACCAATTTTAAAACCTGCCTTTGAAGGTGATGTTAATTATTTAGATGAATTAGAATAATGGGATGCTGACTCAAGAGGTAACGTCTCTATAATCAGTAATACATGCCTGCTTCAATAATGAATAGAGGAGTGATCAAGGTTTGTTGTGTACCCAACATTCATTTGCTAATTGTCACAGCTATGGGAAGAATGGAAATGGGAAATAAATGGAAAAGGCCTTTTGAAAGACTTCTTGTATGCAACCACGATCCAGGGGATTGTGAAATTAAATTTACGGAAGCAATCTTTTCTTTTTTAATCCGTTGCTGGGCATTTACTTATTCAGCGTTAGCCACTCCTAAGGCCGGAAATGGTGGCTATTTTATTCGAGAGGCACCTAATAGGTGGCTACATTTGCATCCTATGAAGGGACGGACAGTTATAACCATGCCTTCTCTGAGATTCGAACCTGGGCCCTCCGGTACCAGTGTAAGCTTCCCTAACCACTATACTGTTTGCGTGGCTATTAAGGAAACTTAAGAAATGGTGCTTGGAAGAGCTAATGCCGTTTTTTCCCTCACAGAAATTAGGAATTTTATAGCTGTAATATAAGCCAGTCGACAAGTCATTGCTACAAGAAGAGAACTTAATTTAAAAACTGAAGATAAGTATATTTTGTAATTCCTGAGTTCTTATCATATGAACTCATGCTTAATGGTTTTTTAGAATTTTGTAATCAAAACAATGTTAAAACTATAAAATCTTATTCTAAAATAATTATTAAAAAAAGCGTAAATGACTTTGAAATCAAAGAAATACTAAATCTAATTTAAGCTGAGAATAAGATTCTCAAAGAAACTGATTCACACAAGCACATTTTATTATCTGGCACAACAACCAGAAAAAGAATGGAATGTATTTTTGCCTACTATGAGAAACAGAAGTTTTATATGTTTGTAAATATGAAGAATCTGTATGCCACATACAGTTTTCATAAACTTTTAATTCTTTAATATAAAAATTTTAATTGTTAATAATTTTAAAAAAATTAGTTTTTGTTAATTTAAAAATTTTGATTAAATACAGATGAATAGGGTCTTAAAGCTATAATCACCCATCTTTTGTGTGTGAGAGTGTGTATTAATTTATTTTAAATTTTAAAATTAATTTTAGTTTTCTTTTTTCCAGAGTATGCCACCACGAGGACCTACCACATCACCACCTGTTCATCCTTCTAGTAACACTCCAAATATGAGCTCTCATTCTGTCTCAGGCTCAGCTGGCACTGGGTCTGCTACTAATTCTTCTAGTTCTTCTCACTCAGAACAGCTCAGTAAAACTAATTTATACATTCGTGGCCTGACACAGAATACAACTGATAAAGACTTATATAATTTATGTGCACCGTAAGTGTAAATTTGAGAATGTTTTATGGTTATGCTTTCTGTTTTCATTATTTTATAACTATGATGTTTATTTTATGTATTATTACACATATTTAATTTATTTTACAGATATGGGAATATAATATCTACTAAAGCAATATTAGATAAACAAACCAATAAGTGCAAAGGTAAGTTTTTTAGTTCTAAATTATGTTTTCAAAGGTATTGCTATTCATTGTTTTAGTAATAAGTGCCAAGAATTGGAAGATTATAGCCTAAATTTAAAAATTGCTCTAATACTTAGAAAAATATTCCTTATAATTTTTATCTAATGAATCGGAAAATTTCTAGCTGTTTCGTTAAGTGATTCATAAAAAAATTGTTAATAATAAATAATGTTATGAGGAAAAATTTCTTACAATTTTCCCTTATATTTTCAAATGTGTGGCGCAGAGTTATCTCTTTGCATCTTCTGATAGATAGAAAAAGCAGTATTTTATGAAATTGAAAGAGAAACGTGCTAGTTTAAAATTTATCTTAAGAGTGTGATATATACAATTTGAATAAAATTCTATTGATTTCGATTATCTGAGTGATTAATCAGACATGGGTCCATCTTCTTGAAAAGGGAAAAGATTTTGCAAAATGGGGGGACAGTTGTATTTTATATTCGAAAACATATTTTTTTTTATTTCGATACAAACATCAAATTAAAATTTGGGTTGAATGAGACTTTTAAGTAAAATAGTTTTACAATATGTTAATCTAAACATGCACATTAAAAATTCTGAATAATAAATGTACAAGTTTAAATATTCCCTTTAATTGAAACTGTGCAAGGAAATTAGGTAAATTGTTTTCAATATATACTTTGAGCATCATTTCCAAATTAAACAAGTTGTAGTGTTCTTAAAAATTTCCAGAAAGTTGCCATGTTGGTGAAAAATGACCAAGCTCCATCAGAATCATTTTCACCCATATATCACATTTTAATTAAGCTATTTTAAGAGTTCAAATGCTGTAGGATTTTGAGTTAAGCATTTGCATGCAAATCATATGGCTACAAATACACAGAATAAATCCTGAAACTGTTTTACCCTAAATGAAAAAGTAAAATTGAGCAAATAAATAAAACTATACTCATTATCAGAACAGTGCAAAAAAAATAATAGTGCAGTTAAATGAATTAGATATTTACGGAACCTTACATGTATGGTTCAGTTTTTTTAAAAATTTATTTGAGTTTTTATTATGCTTTTTCTCGAAAGAAATTCTGTATCTTGAATAAATTACTGCATGTTGTATCAAGAAGTATTTACTGTTTTGAAGGTTGCATTCCTTTTAGCAGTGTGCCATTATCTCAAACATAGAATGTTCATAATGTAATCATTTACAATCATCATCTTTGTAGCATTTAAATATTATTTTTTCTTGTATGTAATCTAGTAAAAAAAATTTTATTCCTACCAGAACTTTTACATGCAAGTAGTATGAAAATATTGGTTTTATATTAAGAAACAAAAAATGTCACCATATTTTTTTTTAGTTATACACTTTAAAAGTTTCCTACCTAATTCCTTGTTTAGTAATTAGATATATAGTTACAAAATATTTAGTGTACATTTATTTCATATGTTAAAGCTTGCAATATGTTAGCACCTGACAATTCCTTAACTGTCATTTTCATTATCATCTTTAGGCTATGGCTTTGTTGACTTTGAATCTCCAATTGCAGCTGAAGCAGCTGTCAAAGCATTAGCAAATCAAGGTGTTCAAGCTCAAATGGCTAAAGTATGTTATACACGGGTAATTTAATCCCTCATTAAAATTTATTTTTCTTAATTTATTGTGTTTCATAAGAAAGTGTTTTTTGTGCATAAAATAAGTACAGGTGTCCATGTTTCTTTAAAAAGTGGGAAAATCCTTTAAAAAAAAATAAAGAATACCGTTTTGTAATTGTTCTTGGAACTGCTAAAAAATTATTAACAACCTTGAAAAGCCAATTTTGAATTAAATTATATTGATGAAAAAATTGGCAATACACACTATTGTTTGTAAGTGGAAGAGAAGCATATCAATGCGTTTATTTATTTTTTAATTTGATGTCATCTGTGAGCATTCTTATATGATTGATAGAATCACAAAAGTATATGAAAATGAGAATTTTTTTTTCAGATTTTCATATTAATGTTGTGCAAAAAATGTAAAAATAATAATGCATAAATTATTTTTTCCAAGTGAAATTGTTAATATTTACTAATAGCTTGTTATATAACTGTAAATAATAGAAAAAAATAAATAAAATATTTTAAACAAATTTCTTGACGCATTAGTTATTCTTTTACAATGCAGTCAGTCATTTTGACTGCTTTGAGGCAATATAAGTAATATACTAAGTTTCAGTCTTTCTAGTGTTAACTTAACATAGGGGTTTAAATTTATAAGGTATTTTTCTTTTCTTTTCTGCATACCTTTTTGGTGTAATTGGAAGCAAACTCAAATTTGAGAGGTCCAGAGTTTGAGTCCGGGCGAGAGCACTTCATATTTCTCGCATCATTTGCTTCAAAAAAGCACTAATGAGTCTACACGTTCAGTTAAATACTGCATTTTGATTCCCCCCCCTTAGTTATTTAAATTGCAGTATATTTGATCTGCATTACATTTTACACTAAATTGTTTGCCTTGCCTCATTTGTACTTGTTTATTTGCTTATGTTTTTGTAACTTGGCTGTCAGATTACTGGAGAATTGAATTGTCCATAAAATTAACGATCTCGGTATAATTATTTACAATGATTGATTAGCTTTAAATTTTTTTGTGAGCAAGAATATATGTTTCCCTCTTCCATGGTTTAATTCTATTATCATCCTTTACTCATAGTGTAATTGGTGACCTGTAACCCTTTCTCCAGAATATTTTTTTAAATTCCATTTTCTGAATCCTTATTCTTTGTCATAATATTACCAGAATCAGGATTCAAATTTTTACTTTGGTTCAGCTGTTCATGAAATTGTTTGCGTTATTCTCTAATAATATTTTGTTACCGAGGTAACGGAATATTTATTTTGATAAATAATATTTCTAATTTTGTTAAGGAAAATATTTAACTTCATTACTTTTTTTTTAATATTAATTGAGCTTGCTTGGATTAAGGTTTTATTATAAAATTCTATAATTTAAAAATTTTTAGTTTGCAAAAGGGTTATTGAGTGTAAACACTGTTCAATCTCTTTTGTTTGTGTGTGTGTGGTCTTTGCACAAAACGTGTAGAAAAGGTGTGTTTTCTACATAGTGGCTTTCAAAAATGGAATATCAATAATGAATTGTGTTGAAATTGAGAGTGTGAAAGAATGCTTCATATTTACTTCATATATTTATTGATATCTATATGATATTTTTAGTAAGCTTTATCAAAAAGGCATAATCATTTAGAGTGCAGGTAAAAAATATGTAATATGTTGGAGAAAATGGAAAATATTCAAGAAAATGTAATACAGTCAAAAGTCGTTAATCCGGACCCGTCGGGACTTCGGCAATTACGGATTAGCGATTTTTCCGTATTATAGATCATCAGTTTAAATCTGGTAAAATGGCATGCAGAAATTATAAAATTAAAAATATGAAACCGTAATTTATGAAATAAAGAACAATTATGATCTAAAGGGTATCAAAATTTACAAAAAAAAAGCTTAATATTTGTTTACTTTATTAAACATTTCTTTCAATGTAAGTTGTTTAAGTTGCTTCGTTTTATGTGATAATACTTTCTGTTTAATTCTATAAACAGACATAATTTCGTGTTCAGTTACAAAGTTCCGCTGTTCAAGTATTATAATTGCTGTGTCGAGAGTACCGACTAATTTGTCAATCGAAATTTTTTCGTGTTCAATAACCTATGTGTCACTTTCTTCACTATCGAAAGCTAATTATAATGATGAGGAATTTGATTTAAATCATATCAAAGATGGAGTACATCGAGATGAAATACTACATTTAGTAAGGAATTATAAGCCAAATAAAATAAAAACATCTTCCCTAAAGATAAGGATAGTGCTGACAGATCAACTTCCAATTCATTGCGCGCAGCGGCGTCCCCCCCCTCCCGCGCAGCAGAGCAGCGTGAAATTTAAAACAGATTTCGGAATGGTTAGAGAAACAAAGGATATGCCTTTATCCATTTTTTGCAGGAATTCTACTTTTTGTTTGATGGGCATCGAAACATACTTTCGTTTTGTAGATCCTTTGGGAGCTCCAGCATCGGAAATTTTATTTGACATAATCAAGTTCAAGCTTACTTTTATAAAATTGCTCTGTCTGCAAAAACAGTCTGCAAAAAATGATAATCTGGATCCAATTTGAAGATTAAGGAATAACGCAATCTGCAACATTAACTGAAATAGATAATTAGATAATTTTAGCTTATACCGTCTGTTATACATTAAACACGCATGCGCACACGCATATGCGCAGCCGTGGAGGTCAACGCGATGCATGCGTAGAAAGTTTGTAGGTTTGAGGTCCGGATTATAGATCATTTCGGATTATGGATGTCCGAATTAACGACTTTTGACTGTAGTTAGTTTAACTGTGCTCATGCCTGATGAAGTAAAAGTCTGCCATGCTGATTGTGAGTTTGTGCCATTTGTTTGGGAAGAGAACGTTATTTGATGGAGGTTACAATGATTGTCGTTTAGTTTAGTAAGTGTCTTTATAGTAATTAGCTGAGTGGTAAGCCGTGGTATCTACTTTGAGATAAATTTGATTTTTATTATAATATTGAAAGGCTAGTTGCCTAAGTGTTAAGTTCTATTCTGTTGTCCATAGTATTCAATCTTTTATGGCATGGACAAAAAGATAAAATTTTGTTGAACTTTTATATCTTGTGCATTGTATGCAAATTGTTTATTGTCAGGGCAGTAAGTAACCCACCAAATATGAAGAAGTAATTATGTATGAATTCCTAAATAGACATACTTTAAAAAAATCTATTAAACTGTCTTTCTGTTACTTGCTGGATTTATATTATGGCTTATTTTTTGCGCTTCCTTTTTTTCGGGGGGGGGTAAACTTCCATTCATTAAAATATACTTAGATCATTATAGAAAAATAGCAAAGTAATATATATGGCGTGATAACATAAATCATGATCTTATTAAAGCAGTTATGATGTTCAGAGTGCAAGATTTTTTTTAATTTTAAAATATTTTTTTATACCCCCCCCCCCACCCCCCCCACCCCCCCCCCACCCTCCCCCCCCCCCCCCCCCCCCCCCCCCCCCCCCCCCCCCACCCCCCTGCCCCCCCCCTCCCCCCCCCCCCCCCCCAACCCCCCCCCCACCCCCCATTTAATAGTGACTTCTGATATTTATTCTATTGAGGATATGTGCAGTTTTGTAAAAACTAAGTAATAGTTCTTTGCAATTTTCAGGAATTTTTTTTGTACATATTATATAAATATATATAACAATTTTAAAAAGTTGTAGGGTATTTGATTAACGGTTTTTGATATAACTCATTTATTTGTATCAGTCAAATGACATTAGTGTGTACTAATGCTTTTGTATCAGAAAATTAATGCCATACTTATAAGAAATTGTGTGTATTATAATGTGAATTGAACAATCAATGCTAATTTTAGGAGAAAAGTTATAAAAATTCCTAGGAATTTCGAAGCAAAAAAATAATTAAGAATAGATAAGGCTATAACCTGAAGCCAGGTATTTTATCTCTGTGCTGTATCAGTTACACCATAACAGCACATGGAAGGAGTGCCTTTATTTCCTCACATTAATTCCTTTGATGATTGGAAGAAAAACAAGACATGATTAGAGCTATCCAAATACAATGATAACTTACCATCCACCATTTTTTGGCTAGTATATATATAGAGAGAGAACATCAATAGTTCAAGAGGCCGAAGTAGTTGGAAAATACACTGTGTCCTTGTCTAGAGTCAAGTGTGGGCTTTCTAAATGACCATAATATATGAAATATGTTTAATTAATGTGTAATGCCTTTTTCTATGGGCCCACCAGCGGCTGAGCGGTAAAGTCGCTGAACACTGGTAGTTCGATCCGAGGTTCGAATTCTACGAACGGGCTGGCTGCATGGGCGTTTTCGTGGTTTTCCATATGTGTAATGTGTATATGAGCCAGTTTCCCTTAGAAGTCCTCCACGAAGGCATCCCTCCCCTTAGGCAGATAGCTATAGTGTGCTTTGCCATAATTAAATAAACCAAACCAAACCTTTTCTTTGAACTCTTTTGATGCAATGATCAACGTAGCTGGATATGCAACCAATTGCATCATAAAAATGTGTCGAAAAAATATCTTAACTGTTTACATTTCCTCCTTATCTTAGGGCAGCCGTCAACTAGGATTGTTTAAATGGAGGGAACTTCCATTTAAACAATCCTAGTTGATGAAAAATTATCATTCAAGTGCTATACATAGAAACTATAAATAACTAGAATTTAAAAAACACTCTAGGGTTAGGGTGTTGTCTTATTAATATTATAATGGAGCATATGCAAATAAACTATGCTGTACGTTAATTATAAATAATCCAGTATATTTTTAAAACTTTCAGTTTAATGTGCATGAGTTCAATATTTACCATTATAATATTGCATGTTCTTATTATGAAATATGTTTTTAATTTATTTTTTTACCTTAGCAACAAGAACAAGATCCAACAAATTTGTACATTGCCAATTTACCTCCATTTATGACAGAATCTGAATTAGAAGATATGTTAACTCCATATGGAAATGTTATTTCAACACGTATATTAAGAGATCAAGGAATGAATTCTAGAGGTGTCGGATTTGCACGGTACGCAATCTTTTATACATTTTCTGGATTGTTGTTATACTAAAATTTTTTTTATTCATTCTTTTCTCTTCATCAGTTTCATACCTGTTTAAAGAAATTTAACAATAAAAAATTGAATTGCAGGATCTAAATTAAAATAAAAAAAAAAAAAAAAAAAAAAAAAAAAAAAAAAAAAAAAAAAAAGGTTCTTGTCTTCTTTCTAGACTTTTGTAAATAAAATTAAAATAGGTTTGAAGAAAAGATTTATATATGGAAATCAATATTTCTTCTTCGGATGTACTGTACAATTCCTATAATTGTCAACCTTTGGACCAAAAGTTATACAGGTTATACATCTTTCCCAGATTTTTCTACATTTTTCTAATTTTTACATTAAATCTGCACTTTTTCCACATAAATTGTTAAACAAAAGAAAGCTTGAGAATTATTTAATCAAAATTTATTGAATACAGAAGAGTTTGTAAAAAATGTTAAAAACATTTCTCCTAGAAATTTATTCATGATTTCTTTTGATGTAAAATCATTATTCACGAATGTTCCAGTGGAGGGTGCATTAAGATGTCTAGAAACCAGACTTCGTGAATTTCATTTCTCTTGCATCGAAATTGATGAGCTAATTTCTCTCACTCAACTCTGTTTGAAACAAACTCATTTTGTTCTCCAAAATAAATATTACAAGCAAACTGAGGGATTGGCCATGGGAAGCCCCCGCAGTCCCATCCTGGCTGATCTACATGCATCATTATGAATCAAAATTGCTTGATACTTTAAACTTCCCGGTATGGTTCCTCAATGTAGATGATACTTTTACCCTGTTTGAAGGTAATAAAGATGATTTGAATAAAGTTCTTTTGACAATGAATTTCGTTGATCCCGCTATTCAGTTCACTTTTGAACTTCAGATTTGCAATTCTGTTCCGTTTCTCGACATTCTGGTCACACGTAACACATCCAGTTACTATGGTTTACCGTAAACCTTCATCGGTTTGCCTTCCACGATACTTGAAATCATGTCATCCGACTAAACAAAAGTTAGCTTCATTTTATTCCTATGTTTTCCGTCCTTTTCAAGTTTACTCCTCCAAACTATCCCTTGATGGAGAACTAAATTATTAAAAACAAAAGCTATTGACAGGGACTTTTCACCCAATATTATTAATCAAGCAGTTAAAAAATTCTCATCTCAGCACAGCAAAAGACACACTCTTGTTTTAGGAGATTATAAAAATGCTGTTGTCATTCCCTTCTTTCCATCACTTAGCTATAAAGTTGCATATATTTTGCAGAAATTTAACTTTCAGGTCATTTATTCTCCCATCAATAAAATTCCGAGTTGCATACTCAACGACCCCATTCCGGATATGAATTCCTGTGGTACTTACAGGATTCCTTGCCAGTGTGGCTTAATTTACATAGGCCAAACTAAGAGAGCCTTGAAATTTTGTGTGAAGAAACATGAGGCATATGTTAGAAAAAAGGAAACACAGAAGTTTTCTGTTGCCCAACATTGTTGGTCTGAAAATCAAACTTTCAATTTTTCTACTCCCAAAATTATTGAAAAAACATCTTCCATTGGTGAACTGGATTTTCTACAGGCATTTCATGTTCAAAAAAATCTTTCTGTTCTAGTTAACGACCCTAATTCCAATCCATCTTTGCCTTCAGCCTTTAAAGAAATTATGTTTTAGCTCTGGTTTCATCAACAGATGGCGCCAGTAGCTTATCTCCTGTCCAGACTTTCTTATCATATCTAATCATTATATCTTATCTCGTTCATTTGCAATTTTGCAGCTGAGGATGATGGTTCGGTAAAACCATCGAAACTAGTCCTGCGAAAATGTATGTTAATAATGTACTATTGCTATACCTTAATGTACTATTGTTATTATATAAGCATTAATACACTTTGCTTGTTATGTTGAAGTAATTAATTCTTTTTAAAACTCTAATGCATTAAAAATTAATTTTTAATTCATATATGAAAAAGTACAGAACACATCATCAAATAAATAAAATAAACACTACTTACTTGCAAATTTGTATAAACTAAACTATTTAATAAATTCTCCATCTACAGAATCTGGATTATATAAAATAATGGGGGGGGGAAAAGATATATAAAAAATATTAAAGAACTGTAGCACATTATTTTAAGCATTTTCAACGCAAGTTTTGCAAATTATCTTGGCACAATGATTACATATCGGATTCTTGCAGCTGAAACATGGATAGGCAGTTTTTCTTCTGAGTGTAGGGGGAGAAAGAGAGCATGTTTTATGCCTTTTAAGCATATCAGTTAAATCTGAGCTAGAATAGATTCTGCTGGAAACTCTTAGCACTTTCTGAATGCAATTTTTATTTCTCGCATCACAGTTGGCTTTTCAAGCCTCGATCCATATGTGGTTTCACTAATTCTGGTGACAACTCCATCCAGAAATCAGTTTTTTCCAATCTGGCACTATCTTTTAATGACTAATGTATTATATGTGCATTAATTCCATTTACATCAAGTAACCTAAAGAATATAGCCATAGGCCATCGCCTTGCGGATTGTAGAATGCTTAGAACATTTTTTATCCAATGCATCTGGGCCCACCAGCGGCCGAGCGGTAAAGTCGCTGAACACTGGTAGTTCGGTCCGAGGTTCGAATCCCACGAACGGGCTGGCTGCATGGGTGTTTTCGTGGTTTTCCCCATGTGTAATGTGTAACGTGTATAGGAGCCAGTTTCCCTTAGAAAGTCCTCCACAAAGGCATCCATCCTCTTAGGCATATAGCCCTAGTGCACTTTGCCATAATTAAATACACACCACCATCCAATGCATCTGTGACTTCTTTAGTCAAATTTGTAAAAAATCTTATTTCTGGTTTCCAAGTTAAGTCAAATAAAGCCCTTATTGCCCTTATTTTTTTTTTTTTATTTTTTTGCTGTTTCTTTTTTTTTTTTTTTGTTTTTTTTTTTTTTTTTTTTTTTTTTTTTTTTTTTTTTTTTTTTTTTTTTTTTTTTTTAGTAAGCTTATTTTTTGCTTTTTAGTGCTTTTTTTTTTTTTTTTAATCCGTTGTTTTTAATTAACGCGCATTTTTTCCTTCTTTTTACCTTTTTTTTTTTACGCCTTTTTTTTTTTTTTTTTTTTTTTTTTTTTTTTTTTTTTTTTTTTTTTTTTTTTCTTTTTTTTTTTTTTTTGTTTTTTTTTTTTTTTTTTTTTTTTTTTCCAACGTACCAAAGCCGAAACTAAATAAACAACTTTTCTTCCTTATACGCAATGTCAGATGGTGAATCATAACTCCCAGAAATTTCCCCCCTTCCTCCTCTGCATTAACGTAACCTATGGTGCGCGCGAGAGTACAGACTCGTTCGCCAAGAATTAAACTGAGTTTTTTTTCCCTCCGACCGAAATACTACACACGTTTGAATTTCTATCAAGATTTTAATAATTTGCATTCTCGTTCCGCGTGGTCAGTTCATATTCGTGTTTATTATGATCGTTATGCTTATATTATGAGCATATGTATGAATATTTATAATAATATAGTTGCAGTAACTGCTGAAGTATAGATAAACTTCCAAAAATGGGTGTGTTTTTACACAGATTAGCTTTCTAAGGAATAATATTCGGAATGGCTTAAATAAAAGGAAAGTAATCGAATAGTCAAAATAATTTCATTTTCTTTGCCAATACATTATACAGTACGGAGGTTGGGAGGTTTCTCCACAAAATCTCTAATATTGAAGCAGCGGACTTTTTTTTGTCACTGTCCAATCTGGATTGAATAGGACTAAAAGTTTTTGCGGTCTACCCAACCAAACGAAGATTGATTCTATTCTATTCCGGAAATTTAAACGCAGTCTGTTGAAAATTAGAATCAGAAACACCCAGATTAGTAAGTCTCTTTCTTTTCCTTTATTTAGTTCTTTATTCTCCGAATACCGGCAGGTGTTGATTCCGATTGCGTAATATCACACCGGAAGAATTACGCCGCACGTATTGCGCAATAACGTTTGCGGTATTTTGCATTGATAATTAATTTTGATGTTCAGTCTGAGATTTGTTTATGAACACTTAAAAGAGTTTTACTGTGCTTTCTAAGCAGAATATTTCTCAGTTCCATTGGTCTATTTTTATATGATGCACATATCGAAATGTCAAAATCATTTATTTAGCCTAAATTTAAATCTAAAGAACGGCTACAATCTCCCCCACTCCTCTTTTTCCAGTTACTATCCGGAATATTCGGGAATTTCCGAGTATGCAGGTTAGTTAAGCTTTTACTGTTAAAGGATGACTGCATGAAGCAATTTCCCGTCTTCTGATTTCAGAAATGTGCCTCTCTTTTCTTTTTACTTTTTACTTAAATTACTTTGCTTGGAATATATGTTAAGGAAAAACTGTTATGCAATGAAAATTTAGAAAATGTTCAGAATTTTGATTTAAGTTAAATTATTTAAATATTAATATGAGTGGAAAAATAAATTGTATTTATTATTAGGTGCCAAACGAATACAATTAATATGGCTTATTATTATTTATTTTCTATATTTTCAACTGAAATATCATCATTAAATCTTGTAATATAGTTTAGTTCTGCATAGTTTTTTTTTCTCTCATTGTAAACTAATTCTGTAAATTGAACTGTCATTTCGAATTTTTTAAAAAAAATCTTAATTGTTTTCCATTGTTGAGGTAATGCTCATTCTTTTAATAAATATTGCATTGCTCATATTTTAAATTACAAGTCTAATTTTTCTTTTAAAGTTATGCAGTTGTGTATAATGTAATTAGACAGGTGCTTATTTTTTCCTTAAAATGTGCTTGAAAAGTGCTTATAGGTGCTTATTTTTTTAACTAAAATGTGGCTATGAACTCTGTCTGTGTTTAAAGGTTAAAAATCTCTTCCTGTTTATTGCTGATATAAAGGAGCAGGCTGAGTGCACACAATGTAACCAAAATAGTTACAACATGCTTAGTTATAACATGTTTGTTGGAGTTCAATGTTTGAAACGTTGTAGATAAAATCCTTGCATGTGTTAATCACATATGAAGTTAATTTTACTTGAAGATGGTGAAAGAAACATTTGCAGATATTCGCAATATGTATTTACTATAAAAAGAAAAGTGCTATGCATGAGCATGATTTTTTAAATAACTTCAATAATAATAACAATAATAAAAATCCTTGAATCAAAATGTGTTTTAATTATAGGGTATTTTTATTTAATTTTTTTTGGGGGGGGGAATATTTGTAAAAGAAAAAATTGCTTGGCTGAATTTTGTTTCAGACCAATATGTTCTTTGCATTCAAAAGAGAGCATGGAGTACTGGAATTCAGCTGTACTTGAAATTTGTCATCAAAAAAATTTTTTTTTTACCAGCATAAAACAAAAATATTAATCTTTCTTTCTATTCCAACAGAATGGATAATCGTGATATGTGTGAAACCATCATAGGAAGATTCAATGGAAAAATTCTTCCAGGTAATATTTATTATATATATAAAGTTGTTTTCTCAATCGTGCTTAATTTGATTGTGTTTGTCCACAGCTGTAAATGATGAGAAAAGTTATCCTTCAAAATAGTTATGGAATTAATTAAAATTTAATATAAGTAGAAACATAAATATATACTTTCATAGCATTTTAATTAGTGAAAAAAGTCATTACTAGTGGAATATCTGCAAGTTCATTTATATCAACTGGGATAATAATGATTATGTTTCTGGAAAATGTTTGACTTATTCTTTGCCCCTAGTCTTAATAATCGGAGAGATCCTACATCTCAGCATTTATAGAAAATTAACCAATATCAGCATAAGCATTTTTGCAAAGTTTGTTAACATGCTAGGATTTGTTTTAGATTGCAACTGTCAGATTCCAGCCTCAGCTTCAAGATTTAAAGAAGATAAACCCACGTATGATACTTTATAATAGTTTAATTATATGAACCAAATTGCTTCACATTTTTGTATATAAATTACAGGAGTTGCCCAGTTTGATAATATTAACAGTGATCCCATTAAGTGGAATTTTCTGTACTACCAAAAATATTTATGTATTTGTTTATTGCAGGAAGGAAACTTTAAATAAAAATGTGGTTCTTTTTCAATATATAAGACAGTAAATCTGATTAATTCTTGAAAAGCCAGTTTAGACTTTAAAAAGAAGGATATAAGTCAACTGCTATTTTCCTCACATTTTAAAAAAAAAAAAAAAAAAAAAAAAAAAAAAATAATAATAATAAAATAAAATAATAATTGAAATTTGCGACCTGCCTTCTATGGAACAGCATGGAGTTGAATATTTTCAAAAGTACAAGATCCTGGGATCAAGAAAGTTACATAAATGATAAGAATATGCGAATTTGAGATGCAACATGAAAAAATATCATGAGTTTTAAGTTTTTCATTTGCTATATCTGAAACATATATCTGTTGATTATCTAACTATATAGAAGCAGTCTGTGTCTGCCAGTATGGTTGGCACAAGTTTAGGCAGGATCTTCACCAATTTACATGGTCAGTAAAATTTTATAAATTAGTTAAAATTTTTTTTTTTTTTTTTTTATGCGATTTCCTACAAAAATATGACAGTTTTTGCAGCAGAAATGCTATCCCCCCTTTCTTTCTTCTCCAAATTTTGCATAAGTTTTAAATCAAGACTTTTCATAAGAAATAAAAAATGCCGTTTTTATGGTTTTAGATCGGAAATTTCTTCTTCCAGTTACTTGACTTTTCTACTGCATTTTGCATTTTTATTCTTTCAACTGTTCAGAATTTTTACATATCTGGTATATGCCATTTCTCAATAGGTGAGTTTTTACTGTATTTAATGCAAATCAAATGTTTCAAAATGCTAGTTAAAAATGGGTGTGCAAGAATTGAACGGAACCAGTATAGGTTCGTATTTTATACTCAACTAGTTCTAATGTTGTGAACTATATTTGCAGTGGAAATGAAATGCACAGTCATTAAGAAAACAGGAGAGTGGTATAATAAGGACACCTCATTTTAGGTGAAAGTGCTACATCATACTTGCTTATTTAAGAATCACATTTCTGGACATAAGTATAGCAGCTTCTTCCTTGATATAATCCACCAGCGGCCGAGCGGTAAAGTTGCTGAACATTGGTAGTTCGGTACGAGGTTCGAATCCCACAAACGGACTGGCTGCATGGGTGTTTTCGTGGTTTTCCCCATGTGTAACATGTATACGAGCCAGTTTCCTTTAGAAAGTCTTTCACGAAGGCATACCTCCCCTTAGGCAGATAGCCCTAGTGTGCTTTGCCATAATTAAATACACACACACACTTCCTTGATATAATAAAACTTGAAAATATTACTGAGTATTCAAGTGACTGATGACATGTTTAAGGTCTGACGACAGTGACTGACGACATGTCAGAGGGTTACTCTGAGCGGCCAGGGGATTTGCTAAGAAAGTGCAAATTTCCCAAAACTACTATGAGAACAAATTATTTTTTTGATTTTAATGTAAAAACTCTCCTGGTATTACATACCTCGATTTGTGTACTTTTGATATATTGCCTTAATTTCATTGACATATTTTAATATGCACGTATATGTACATTCTTACAGATATCACAAACAATATTCTAGCTTATATATATGTAAGATAAAAATGTATGAATCAGAATTATAATATAACTATAAACATTAATTCTTCCTCTCTATTCTAAAATCGTAATAAATTATCTGCATTGCGTCATTCAAATTAATCATGCGATCTTACGTAACATATGCCATCATGCGATCTTACGTAACGTTAAATTAATACCATCTGCCTCTTGACGACCAATCACCGAATTGTAAACTGAAACTTTTCTCTTCGTGTGTTTCCATCTTTCATAACTATGCACTTCAGCTTTTGCTCTCTTCTGTGCTAAGATGTAATTTTGCTGGCTAATTATTTATGATAATGATTTCTATCTCAAAAATATCAAAAATGTAAATCTTCTGTGGAAAGGCACGACTAGAGTGCCAAGTGATTGTGGCCACAAATATCAATTGGAAATAAAAATGGAATTAAAACTGCCTCGACTGCCAAGTTCTTTAAATACTACGCAATCAAAATTCTTCTTCAATATAGATCTAAGCACGCATCTACACTGCTCCGTCTCTTTTCCTTTGCTTTTATTATGACAATTAGTATGAATCAGAATTATAATATAACTATAAACATTAATTCTTCCTCTCTATTCTAAAATGTAATAACTTATCTGTTACTTTTCTCTTCGCGTGCTTCCATCTTTCATAACTACGCACTTCAGCTTTTGCTCTCTAATCTGCTAATATGTAATTTCGCTGGCTTGCTTTCTATCCCAACAATATCAAAAATGTAAATCTTCTGTGGAAAGGCACGACTAGAGTGCCAAGTGATTGTGGCCACAAATATCGATTGGAAATAAAAATGGAATTAAAACTGCCTCGACTGCCAAGTTCTTTAAATACTACGCAATCAAAATTCTTCTTCAATATGGATCTAATCACGCATCTAGAGTGTTCTGCTTGGGATTTTCCTTGTGCTTTTATTATGACATATATATATTGTATAAAAAAAAAATTCATGCCGCTTAGAGGGTTAAGGGAACATGTTTTTTTTTTTTTTTTTTTTTTTTTTTTTTTTTTTTTTTTTTTTTTTTTTTTTTTAAAGAAATTCTCTTGTTAGTTGCAACTGATGAAATTGTGGTAATGCTTGGCAGAAACGAAAGTCTTTTGGTACTACTTAAATATTTGTTTCGCGACATTTTACTTTGTGCTAATCAAAGGTTAGAACTTTTCATGTCAAAATAAATAAACAAAGACTTCCCATCACAAATAAACCACATTAAATCATTTATTAATGCACAATAGATTACTTCAAGCTTTAGGTGTGTTTCTGTTGTTTGGGAGAATTTGAGACTTAAATTACCCATTCCAAAAGTGCTTGAGTTGATGAGAACAGAGATGGAACTTGGCAAAATTTGTGTGAAGGAATGCTGTGAAACATTACAAATGTTTATTTCATATTAGATCGTACCTGAATGTACCTGAATGTATGAGGTGCATCTGACATCATGATTAATTCAGCTCACGGGAAAAGAGGCAATTAAGTTAAATTATTTGATAAAGATAAATAATATTTATTAAGATATTAATTATCTGGAAACCGTAAAAGCAGGAAAAGGTTTGAACTTGGTTCACTGTAAAATGGAGCAAGACATCATGAGAGAAACTGTGTCCATTTAAGAAAATTTTATGACAGTCTGGAAACCTAGATGAAGAGCTAACTTTTAACAAGCAAAGATGCTGAAATTCCTGAATGGGCAAAAGTGCTGGATTTAAAAATTTGGAAAAAGAATCCTTCAACTTTGGTGAAACAGAAATAATAAATTTGTGTGAAAGATTATATCATCTCTTATGCCTTTGTAATGCATAATGTGCATTAAAAATTTATTCTGGGCCTTTTAAATGCAATCAAGTATGTCCTAGTTCAGTGGATGAGTTTGAATGCTATTTCTCATAGATGAATTTAATAGTGGGTCAACTAGAGGCTCCTTGCATTTAAACAATGTGGCAAACTTATAAATTTGTAGCTCCTCCTTTGAATTCCATTAGTGTACATAAAATCACGATTTTTTAATAAGAATCAAAATGTTAAGAGTGCCAAGCTGGAAACTGTGTGAACTGTATGATTTGAGGGGTAATGCATATTTTTTGTTGTTGTTGTTTTAAAGATTCATTAACTGCATTTATTTTTTCAGTTTGAACTAATGGTGATTTGTTTAAATTAAAAGGTATAGAAATATGTATAGGACCTTAAGTGTGTAAGATGTGACAAAGTAAATATGTATATTTATATTTAATTTTTAACAACATCTAAATTTTAAATAGTAAGTCTTAACAAAAGGAAATGTGGATCATTTGGCACATTACTTTAACACATTTCTGAATGACTCTTATTAATGGAGAGATGTTTTTGTATTTTCTTTTTAAAATTTTATAATTAAAGTCTTTATTTATCAGGATGCAAAGAGCAATTGCTAGTTAAGTTTGCAGATGGAGGAAATAAGAGGAGAAATCAGTTCAAAAGTCAAGAACAAAGGTTATGGCATGATAGAGCTGAAGTAAGATTGTTTGTATTAGAATTCTTATAGTAAAGAATTGTAACCCTTCAGTAAATAAATAAAATTTGAAAAGAAAACTGAATTTTTTAACCACAATGGAGTTGCAGTTTTATGAACTTATAATTTATGAGTAATGGCACTAGCCTCTTAAGAGTTTGAGTTTTTTAATTGTATTCACATTTATAAATGTTTGATTTTACCCCTCTTCCAAAATGCAGGCTTTATAAACTTTAAAATTAGGAGTATTATTTTTGCATTTTGATATTTATTGTATTGGTAATTTTATTTAAATATGGGTAAAGTGTCCTTATGTAACTGGTTTTGTCCGTGCTATACTTTTTTAAGATTTGTGGAAAGAATTTAGTATTTATATTAAAAAAGATTAGTTAAGTGCTATGGATATACTATTAGCTTTTGCATAGTGACTTTAATATTATAAAAAAATCCATGCTAATGTGATGCACATTAAATAAAGAAACTAATTTATTGAAGGAATTTCGGAAATAGGTTGTAACATGAATAACATAATTATTAGATTCTTCTAAAAAAATAAAATTTTAGTGTTGAGAATGATTTTGATTGTAAAAAGTGCCGTGTAATCATTGTTACGTGTCATAAAGATACCTGCCATGCCATTCAAAGGTCACTTAGATTCTAGTTCCTGTTCATTATTTTGTTGAAATTTCGATTTTATGTAATAATTTTATTATATATTAGATTGTGTGAACTAAGAATTTCATATTTTATACTTTCAGTTGATGTGATGATATACCATTGTAACTTATGAGCAAAATATAGTCACTCAGAGACTTGAGACACATTCTCAGTTCTTCAATTTATTATTTCCTGCTTTTGTCCAACCCTAAATTTTCTTGTCATTTATATGGAATTATGTGATTCCTTAGTTCTCTCTCTAATGTTCCTTTTTGACATAATGATAAAAAATTTAAAAATAGTTCTTCAGAAATTTTAAAAAGTCTTATCATTAAAAGTTAAAAAATTATTTGTTTGCGGTTTTTTTTTTTTTTTCACTCGTCACAATTCCAATTTCTTTGTAGCATAATGGATATAACATTTTGTTGGTACTTTATGTATTTGATATCATAATGCATTAAGCTGCAAGTTCAAAATTTACTCCGCAATTTGATGTTTGATTAGGGTGTTCTGTGTTAAAATAATTGATAAAAATAAAAATTCAATTTGTGCTTCATGCATTGTTTATTAATGGTTAATTATGGTCTCTACTATAGAATGTGGTATTTGTAAACAAATTGAAAATATTTTTGAAATTCTGTTTGTCTTATCAATCTATATAAGCATTCATTTGGGTACATAATTTTTTAAGTAATTTTCTTTTAAATAAATAAATATCTTTTGTCTCATTCTTGGATTACAGTTCAGTAAAAGCCTAGTTAATTTCTCTGTGAAAGTAAAGATTTAATCTTAATATAAGAACTGAAATTTGTCATGTTGAAGAATGCCTACACTTGTTTCAAAATTTTGTGTGTTTAATGAAATGAAAAGGTGTAGATAATAGTAATGGAAATTCATTTATTTATCTAAACCTTATCAATGATTTCTGTAATGGCATTAACATAGATTACATCAAACTCCTTGTATCTCAAATTAATTGAAGGCAAGTGATATGCATTAATGTGTTTATCACTGTGAAATTTATCAGCATAGTGCATTTAAATAGTAAACCCAATCTCCCCCTCCCTCTAAAGCTGGATTTTTACCCTTTCTTTTGAATATTTCTAAAAGTCTTAAGCAATATTATAATGTACCAGATGTTCATCCATGTATTTGAATAATCTAAATGTGCAAGAGATAAGCCATTTGATGACTAAATGTTTTTGAATTTGGACAGCTGTAGAATTTTAAGATTACAAATTGTAAAAAAAAAAAAAAAAAAAAAAAAAAAAAAAAAAAAAGTTCCAATTTTGAAAACTTAACTCAGAAATAGATTGCTACTATATTTAAACCAGTATACTATTTAAATGTTTAATAGTCGCTGATTCTATGCTTTTGTCCGTATTTTGAAATGAACTGTATTTGATGTTGATTTTGTGGATTTTAAATGTCTTTTCTGATTCACATCAGTTAAAATTATCTAAAGTAAAATATAATGCATGCATTATCTGGAATAGTTTTGTGGTGGTTTGACTTTAATTTCTGAAAATCTTAATTTATTTCTCCAGTTCTTTTGATTTCTAAATTTTTTGGCATTGTGAAAATGCCGTGTTTAATTAATTTCAAAGCCCACTAATAGCTGATATAGTACAACTGTTGAATGCTGGTTATATGATAAAGTTCGAATTCTAGCAAATTGGCTGGCTGCAATAGCTTTTGGGTAATTTTCCTTTATTTATAGCATAAATGTGAGCTAGTTTCCCATAGAAAATCCTCCTCATTGGCCTAGTGCTTCAGTTATCTTCTCATTATTTCTTTGACTCTTTTCAAAAGTATAGGGTGTTTCTAAATGAATATCGGGGATTTAAAATGATTTATAGTATTTATTATGCAAAACTTAAAATTATAATTAATAGATAAAATGAAAGAGCAACTCAAACAGTTATACTTACAAGCTTACAAGTGTTGAGTTTGAGCACCTTATGTCACAAGGCACACATCAAGTCGAAAACCTTAGTCTAACTAAACCCTTGGTTGTCCTGTACTCATTCCTTTTCAAAGGCAGCCAGTATTTTGAAACTGATGAAACCATCTACGGATGATTTATTATCACTTGAGGATCACATCAGAACTTAATCTGCAACACACGTTGCACAGTAACTACAGATTCGGTCTTTGCAAACTGCAGAACACAAAAAAACATTTTTCACCAGTTGCCATTTTTGCTACTATCGCGTTTTTGTGCATGCATTAAACAGAACTGTTTGAGTTGCTCTTTCATTTCATGTATTAATTATGATTTTAAGTTTTACCTAGTAAATACTACAAGGCATTAAAACCCCGATATTAATTTAGAAACACCCTGTACTTTCAACGATCTTTCCGAAGGTTATGAACCTCTTCTCCATACCCTGGTTCTAGTTCATGTGAGGCTTCTTCATAATGTGGAGTTAATTCACAAGACACCGGAAAACACTTCTAGTGGTACTGCAGGATAGCCATAGATGTATCAACATCATGATTTAACTAAATAAATAAATGTACATTTTAAAAATCATCTTGATATTTTTTATTTATATCAAATTTAGCCGATATATAACATGTCAGTCTTTATTAGTATGTTGAAATTTCATTTCAGTAATTTATTGCATTAAACAATATAAATCTCTCACAGCAAGGCTCACGTATATATTATTCTTGTTGCTGCTGGTAGAGAATCTGATGTCGTTCTTAGTTTTTATTTATTTATTGATTGACTTCTCCACTCCCTATTTTAACAGCCCACAAGCGGCCAAATGGTAAAGACGCTGAACACTGATAGTTCGGTCCGAAGTTTGAATCCCACGAACGGGCTGGCAGCATGGCCATTTTCGTGGTTTTCCCCATGAGTAACATGTACACCGGCCAGTTTCCCTTAGAAAGTCCTCCATGAAGGCATCCCTCCCTTTAGGCAGATAGCCCTCGTGTGCTTTGCCATAATCGAGTAATCCGATCCAATTCCTATTTTAACATATTTATTTTATCTTTTAACAAATGCTATGAAGAATTTTTCTCATATATATCTATAAAAATATATTATGTTATAATGTGTAATGTTGTATCTGTAAAAATTTGATAAAAATTGAATTTTGAGCATATTTTATAATAAATGTTTATTACTTTTTAACATATTTAATTTTCATGTAAAGGTAATCAATTCTGTTCTTTGTGTTTCAGGGAATTCAGTTATATGATCAGAGTGCTATAAATCAGAATGGGTGAGTTTTCTTTAAATAATTAAATATATTATTTCATTTTGCGCTGTTTTATATCTTATACAAATTTGTTTTACATCAGTAGAAAAAATATCAAAAGGAATTATCTGTGTTCTTTATAAGTCTTTGTGTTTTATTTATTAGTGTTGCTTCTCAACTTGTGAGTCCTATTGGTGGTTATCAAAGATCATATTCAACACCTGTATCACCCTATCAACTTCAGCCTAATACCACTTGGGTTCATCAACCTCAATATATTGTGCAGCAACCACTGACACCAGTGAGTTGGCTATAATATTCCTTTATAATCGTTTGTTTTAAGCTTTGTGTGCAATATGAAAATTGTTTAATTTTTATTTGTACTGTAATTATCATTAACAAGTATTAATAATTGAAATTTAACAGTAACAGAGGAATAATATTGTAAAGAATTCAAAAAAAAAAAAAAATAAAAGCATAAAAAGAAGATCAAATTAATTAATATACAATATATATATATGAAGGAAACACTGCTGTGTGCTGATTTTCATCTTCTATTAATACTTTAATTAAATTTTCTTATAAATGCTGCATTAAAAATAATTATTTGGCGCTTATATTTAGAAAAAAATGTATTGTATGCATCAGATTTATTCAAATGGTGCTATATTTTATCAATAAAACAGTTTTTCTACAGCTAATATAAAAATTTTTCTAGCATAAATTTTTAAGGAGGGTGTTTAAATACATACAAATACTTACTTCTGTCAGAATTGTCATTAATGCTATATTTTTTAATGTATTAACATATTATGTAATTAATAAGCCTTTCTACTTGCTGCTTGGAGTGACATTTTGCTATAAATTTGCAGTATATTCAAACATTTATCTGATACTAATGAACTGTCTGTATCTAATTATAAAAAAAAAAAAAAAAAAAAAAAAAAAAAAAAATGCCAGCATAAAATTTAAAGTTATATAAGAAGCCAATTTTAGATAAGTGTAATTAAAATAGACTATCATTAGATCTTTTAACAAACTGAAGTATCACTATGTTTCATTTTGTACTGTATCTTCTAAAGCAAATTATTTAAAGATAGCGATATTATATTTTGTTACTTTGCATTCATTATATAATTTTCTCTCTTTTGTAGATGTTACCTTCTTCACTGGAACCAATCCATTATAGTACTATTGGATTACCTCAATTAACTGCACATATGTCTCAATTGCAGTTGTCTGCAACATCAGTAAGTGAACTTTTGTCACATTCTGTATTATTATTGTTTCCTGATTTCTAAATTTCTCAAAATTTAATGTGTCCAAATTTCTGTGTCTTTCTTGCCATTAATTTTTTTTTAAGTGAGCATTTATTAAAGCATCCTAAGCAGTCTAGTATCCTTCCTTTTATAAATTCTGTGTTCAAGTCTGCTGCCTCTGCATAAGACTTCTCAAAGTGAGTGATACCCCTCTCCTTTGAAACATAAGAATTATTCGAAGAGTGGATATTGTAGACATCAAAGGGCCAGAAGATAAGGCTTTAGTTTTCAAGAAGGTAGCAGAATTGTCAGTAACGTTGTTATATTATTATTAAGACTAGATATAATTTATCCAATATAGCACATACAGAATAGCATGTTTTCATTATTTTCTAAAGTGTTCCTCACAAGATCATATTCAATGAAGTGAGTTTTAGTGCTGCAACTTTTGACAAAACAAAGTATCATCTACTTTTTTTTTTTTTTATATGGTGTTATATGATTTGTAGTTTTGGAAACATGCAGTGCAGCTAGTATTGAGTTGCATGTTCTACATCACGAGCAATGAGCAATTGCAGTGCTGTGCTGTGCTGTTTTTAAAATATTAGATAACAAATCTTCTTACACACACTTTATTCCATAGGCAGAAATACTGATTACCATTACTTTTCAACATATTCACCCTGCTTGCCCTGATATTTGTTCCAATGGGTCATCAAAGAATCTATGCGAGCAATAAATTTACATATGTACATATAGCAAAAAGAAAGATCAAGTTTGGTTGAATGAAATATATGTCAGTATCATTAGGGATGAAATGGGAAGTATCCTTAACTTTGGGGAAATTGCAGTCATACTTCTTTAGTAGGAAATGTGTTAAAAAAGCGATCAGAACTTCTTGTTTGAAAGGGGGAATTAATAGCATTAAATTTCTGACCCTTTTCATTTCATGAAAAAATGTTGGTTATGATAGTCTGATACTTATAATGTAAAACTCTTGAACAAAATTGAAGTTTTTGATTATTTTATATGGAATAAACAAAAGTTGGGTATTTATGTAATGCTTAATTGCTATATTAAGTTCAGGTTCCTTCATTCTGAATCTTCTAAATGAAAATAAGATTAAATTAGACTTCAAATAAGTACTCATTGTTTTCACTTATAATGAAATTTTAAATATATTTTAAGTCGGAACTTTCTTTTTAGTATGTAACTGGAGCTCCCCATGCTTTTACTGGAACAACTTCTGCACCTGGCCTCTACCCTCAAGCAGCTCATCTTGTTCAACCAGTGCCACTTCCAGAGGTATAATTATCACCTTTTGTGGTCTAAGGTTTTTTTCAAATATATGCTTGATTTAGTACCTGCCTGTGCATTAGTGTACTTCATATATCATGCTAACTGCCTCTAAGGACTTTTGTAACTTTTTCAATGGCCTTTACATTTATTTTCCTCAAATGTGTTGACTTAAAAGTACTTGTCTATGAATTAAATTTTCAACATTTTATGTAACTTGAAAATAAAAGTTTTATTTTTCCAACTTGTGTATATCAATATCTAATTCATCCTAACTATATGATCATGTTGCAAACAGATGTGTAGTTTTTATCATCTTTATTAAAAAAGGGTTTGGGAGAGAGAAAAAAGTTCCATTATATTAGTTGTGGTTAGTTTATTTTATATTTAATTTTTCTTTGGGACATAGGAATTATATAATCAAAACACATTTTTTCAAAATTAATGGTTCTTTCCAAAAACAGATGGTGACATTATTATATTTGCATGGAATAGTCTTTTGGCATTGTACCAACCATTCAGGTTAGCACCATAACAAGGGTGCTCACCTATAAAGTTTTTTTTTTTTTTTTGGGATTATTTAATAAGTAACTACTTTTAATTTTGACCACAGTTTTTTAACGCATGGAAAATTTAATCAAACAATTAAATCACCATTCTTACTTAGGATTGAATTTTTTAAGTATGAGTAGAAATAAAAAATGATTAGGCAAACAGTTTTTGAAATGTACTTGAGAAAAATTTGGGACTTATCTAAATTTTATTTTTTAAATAATTCCTGTACCTACCATAACACAAAAGATATGTTCAGTGTAATTACTAATAAGACTCAGTTTCGTTTGATTATAATATTTTTTTATATAAACAGTGTAAAAATATGCAAAAGAATTAAGAGGCTGCCATCTGTATAGGAAGTTGTTTCAATCTATCAATTGTACTATATACTGGTTGCCATAAGAAATAGCTTAATTAAAAGCCTTTTGGATAAACTAATGGTAATACATTGAAACTTTAATTGTAATGTAGCATTCATTTTTATGTTAAAGTAATGGTATAAAAAATATTGAGACATATGTCAGAAATTAATAAAATATTTCAGATAAGAAATTTGTGCTGTTATATGGATGACATTTTACTCTGTTTACAGAAATTTCTTTTGTGAGCATTTATTCTGACTTAAATACATATTTCATTTTTTATTACACTATCATTGTTCAGAAGAATTTGTTTGAAAGCTGTTTTTGTTGGCATACATTAAGACCAAATGTGTCAGATTCTGTTTCAAAATCTACTGAGAACTTGAATTAATTAATTAATTGACACAAAGAGGATGGTAGTTGTATTGGTGCAGTATAGCAGACAGCCACACAATGTGTTTTAACAGTAGAAACATCAGGCTTTCAGATCTATGTTTTGACTTTCGAGTGGAGTGGGGGGGAAAGACATACATATTTAATGCCTTGAACATGCCAGGTTTTTTACCTACAAAACAGCATTTACAAGTAGTGTTACTCTTCAGCTTTCATCTTCAGAAAGCCATTGTTTATTAGTGAACGTGTATAGAGAATAACATGTCTGTCAGAAACAATGTGCAGAGATTGGTTGTGATGATTCAAAGACAAAGATTTTAAAGTCTGTGACAAAATGCATCCTGGCGAAAAAGTTTGATGATGAATTATTAGAGGCATCACTTGTAGAAAATTCCTCTCAAATGTTTATACACTTAACTGAAACACTAAGTGTGGATGTGTCAACTGTTAGTAAGTATTCAAAAGCAGTGCAGATGATTCCGAAATTGGGAATGTGGGTACCTCATGAATTGACAGAAAGAGGCATTGCAAAATGTCTAACCATTTGTGAAATGTTGCTTCAAAGACGAAAATGTGCTTTTGGTGGTATCAGGTTGGTGTGGTGTACTGTGAGCATTTGTAAATTATGAACACTTAATGCTGCGAAGAACAATTACTTTATTTGAATCTCCTACTTAAAGGCAAATACCTGCAATATGCTCAGAGGCGTGGCAAATTAATTCTGCTTCACGACAATGTCAAACGACATGTTACAAACTGAGTGACGAAACCTTCGAAGGGACTTTGATAGGATGTCTTACCCCACCCACCATATTTACCAAACATCGTGCTTTCTGATTACCATTTGCTTAGATCCATCCAGCATGGCCTTCAACACTTCACATCTTAATCTCAAAAACTGGTTTCATGAGTGCATCAACTTAAAAAAAAAAAAAAAAAAAAAAAAAAAAAAAAAAAAAAAAAACTGAATTTTTTTAGCACGGGATTTTTTTACCACTTTTATTACCCAAAAAGTGCAAAATGGTTGTAGCTGCCAAAGAACACTACTTTTGGTAAATTATCTTATACCATTCTATTAAAACAAACGTGTTTTCTGTAGTGAGAATTAATTCAAACCCAATATACTCTTGCTTTGCAGAGCTGTTATTAATCAAGTAGGAAATTTCAAACTGTATTAACAAGTGTACCTTTAAACTAAAGTTATCATATTTTTACATTACATTTAATTGTGACATTATTATATTTGCATGGAATGCATCCTTTGGCATTAGCACAGTAACAAGGGTCCTCACCTAAAAAGTTTATTTTTAAAATTATTTAATAAGTAACTCCTTTTAATTTTGACCACAATTTTTTTATGCATGGAATATTCGATCAAGCAATTAAATCACCATTCATACTTATCATACTTATCATTGAATGTTTAAATATGAGTAGAAATAAAAATATATTCATGCTTTGCAAAGCTTTCATTAATTAAGTAGGAAATTTCAGAGCGTAGTAACAAGTGTATATTTAAACTAAAGTTATCATATTCTTACATTTTTTTAAACTAATGTTTCTTTCCAAAAACAAATGGTCACATTATTGTGTTTGCGTGAAATACGTCCTTTGACATTGCACCAACCATATACTTTGGCATTGTGCCAACCATATACTCGATTTAAGAAAAGGGGGAGGAAGGAGGGAAAAATTATGTACTGTGGCTAAATGCCCATCTGTTATGGGTGATAAGCTTTCCTGCAAAGCAGTGTTAGTGTTGCCAGATTTCGCACAAAACGCCCACTTTACGATGTTTGGTAGCAAAATTGACGCATTCTCAAAGGTAGGTTAAAGCTATGTATATCCTACCTGTATACGGAGAGAGTAGTGTATGTAGTATAGTGACTTTAAAGATTAGCTTGAGAGCGATCGACCAAATCGGGAGCTGTACAGGAACCTGCTGTGATGTCTATCTTCATTGTTATAGCCTGAAGGTTGTGTTGCTGATTGTTTCATCATGTTTGTCTTAGTTTTTTTTTTTTTTTTTATGTGTGTAATAAAGATTTTTAGCAAATAAATTGGATTTGGATTCTTCATCAAGTATTACCATCAGTTACTCCAAATCCACAAACCTCTAGAATGCAACAATTGGTGTCAGGAGTGGGGTTTGTGAGTGAATGCTAGTGACCTACTGACAGGAAAAAAGTCATGGTGAAATAAATAAAAGCTTTGATGTGCTTATTAGCAGCTGTAAAAGCCAGACAAGAAGAGATGAAAGCCTGACAGAAAGAGATCAATGCACTACAAGAAAAGGTAGAGAGCGAATGAAAGCAGGACAAGAATCTCCAACAGCTGGAAATGGAGCAAAACAGGAAAGTGACATCATGGAGCTTAGAGCAGAAATTGGAGCCAAAATAGAAAATGTTGAAAGGAAAGTAGTGGCATCTGAAGAATCAAAGGATGAAGAAATGAAGGAAGTAGCTGATGAAGTATCAGAGAAAGATCTAGAAATGAAGTATGAAATATGTAATGAGATTGAAGAAAGAGAATGAAAGATGAAGAAATAAAAGACTGGAAGCTTTTTGATTTTTAAGTGCCTGAAGTAGAAATGGAAGAAGGTAATAATACTGTTTGTAAATACAGAGAAATAAAAAGAAGTGGCTAGTAAAGCATCTGAAAAAGGTTAAGAAATGATTCATGAAAATAAAGTGGCTGAAGTAGAGATGGAAGAAAGTGAAAATATGACTGTTTAGTTGGTTGTGACTGATAGTGGAATTACGAAGTCGCAGTTAGCAGTTATTGAACCATGTGAAAGTTCTGTGATGCAGAGACAGCAGAAACTCATGTACAGAGTGTTGCCGTATTGCAATGAAGTACACCCACTTCACAAACTGTGTATCTCATAATACATGCTGTACAGACACAAACTTGATTCTAAACCAGGATACTTTTGTTTGCTAAGAATCGTATTCTATTCATAACTCTAATGCGAAAATTGGAACAGGTTTTCAGGAAATAGAGGAAAATAAGCATGTACCAACTGCGAAAAATACTGAGGTGAACTGTACACATTCTGCGAATAAGTTACAGAGTAAGTTGGTGAGCAAACTGTTTCACATCTTTCTGTGGGTGAAAAATCTGAAAGGACTGTGATATGCAAACAGAAAGATATCTGAGATTTGCAGTGAAAAAGTAATTAAATAGGTTATAACTTGGTGAAAAGCCTGAAACTGAGATTCATTCTTAACTTTAATTTATAAAATTTAAAAGTGTTATACGGTTCTTTTGTTTACTTTATCTGCTAGTTTTTTACCTTTGGTTTGCCTTCAGAATTTGGCTTCTGACCAAGGATTGTAGCTGCCCGGGATATGCAGTCTTTGGGAGGGGGCAGTGTTGTGAAATGCCCAGTTTCGGTGAGATAAATTTCCCACAAAGCTGGTTTAGAGTTGCCAGAAAGTGGCAGGGAAGGGCAGGATTACCAGATGTGGCACAGAATCGCACAAATTTTGCAATGTTTGGCAACAAAATTGGTATTATGCCATAGACCGAGCGAGAACATTCTAGAACGCATTCTTAGCGGTTTTCTCGGCAACATTCTCAAAGATAGGTTAAAGGCTATATATACACCCTTTGTGTGCACGAAAAGAGTAGTGTAGTGTATTTTAGAGATTAGCTTGAGAGTGATCAACTGAATCGGGAGCTCTACTTAAGTGCTTT